AATGATAATATTGGCTACCGTTTGTTGGTTATTTACTAAATGTCAGGTACTTTGCTATAAGCTTTACATACATCATTTTGTCTTCACAGCCTCCTATGAAGTAGGTCCTATTGCTTCCCTGGTCAGCTAATGGGAAATTGAGATTTAGAGAGACTACCATCCTGCTCAGCTGGTGGAGTCATAGTTCAGGCCTGCTGCCTCCAGAGTCTTTGCTCTTAAGTACTCCATGAAGTCCCTTGAGCTGAACCTGAACTCCTGCCCTAAGGTGGCTGGGCGCATTCCTCCCTAGTCCTCTGCTCTACCAACGGAGCTGTGGAATGTAGTTAAGATGAGGGAGGAGAAGCATAGTGGTCTCCACCTTCTCAGCATTGCCCCGGATTCTCCTGATGAGCCCTGCCATGTCTGTGAATGGGTGCATTTGGTTCATATGCTCAGCTAGGGCAGGAGTTGCCTCTGTGACACCCAATGCCTGGGGGCTGCTAGTAGTGTCAGCCGCTCCAGGACCAGCCTATTTCAGCAGCTCTAAGGGTGGGAGAATTTCTGATTACATTGACTCAGAGACTCCCACCATTGGTTCTAGTTTATATCCACTTTTGAGAAGTCCTTTTGATACAATCTTTCTTTAAGCTCCCTTTAAATCTGTAGAATCTGAGTTTCCTATTGTGATTTTTTAAAAAATTGTTCTTAAAATATACATAAAGTAAAATCTACTATTGTAACTATTTTATCTATACAGTTCAGTGGTACTAAGTACATACATCATGTTGTGTAACCATCACCATCACCATATCCATAATCTTTTCATCTTGTAAAACTGAAACTCTATACCCATTAAACTCTCTAACCATCCCTTCCCCTAGGCCCCCCAACCACCATTCTACTTTCTCTCTCTATGATTTTGACTACTCTAAGTACCTCATATAAGTGGAATCATACAGTATTTGTCTTTTTGTGATTGACTATTTCACTTAACATGATGTCCTCAAGGTTCATCCATATTGTAGTGTACTGCAGAATTTCTTTCCTTTTTAAGGCTGTATAATATTCCATTGCATGTATATACCACACTTCGCTTATCCATTCATCCATCCACATTTTAGGTATTGTGAATATTGCTGCTATGAACATGGATATACAAATATCTCTTTGAAAACTTGCTTTCAATTCTTTAGGGTATATACCCAGAAGTGAGATTGCTGAATTGTATGGTTATTTTATTTTAAAATTTTTAAGGAATTGCCGTACTGTTTTGCACAGCAGCTGTACCAATTTACCTTCACACCAACAGTGCACAAGGGTTCCAATTTCTCTACATCCTCATTAACATGTGCTATTCTGTTTTTTTTTTTTTGATAGTAACCATTCTAATGGGTATGAAGTGGTTGTAGTTTGTAGTTTGATTTGCATTTTCCTAATGATTAGTGAGGCTGAGAATCTTTTCATGTACTTATTGGCCATTTGTATATCTTCTTTGGGGAAATGCCTATTCAAGTCCTTTGCCAATTTTTGAATCAGTTGTTTATTTTGTTGTTGAGTTTTAGGAGTTCTCTATATATTCCAGATATGAAACCCTTATCGGATATGTGATTTGAAAATATTTTCTCCCATTCTGTAGTTTCCATTTTACTCTGTTGATAGTGTCTTTTGAGGGACAGAATTTTAAAATTTTCATAAAGTACACTTTGTCCGTTTTTCTCTCTTGTTGCCTCTGCCTTCAGTCAATATTAAAGAAATCAATTGCCAAATCCAGTGTGTAGTTTTAGCCTATGTTTTCTTCCAAACATTGTATTGTTTTAGGTATTAAATTTAGGTCTTTGATCTATCTTGAGTTAAGTTTCATATATGGTGTTAGGTAAGGATCCAGCTTCATTCATTTGTATGTGGATATTCAGATTTCCCAGAACCATTTGTTGAAAAGACTATCCTTTCCCTATTGAATGGTCTTGGCATCCTTGTCAAAAATCATTTGCCCACATATGCAAGGTTTTTTCCCTGGCTCTCCATTCTATTCAGTTGGTACTTAATGTTAGTACCACATTGTTTTGTGTAAAGCTTTATAGTAAGTTTTGAAATTAGGAATTGTTAAGTCCTCCTATTTTGTTCCTCTCTTTCAAGATTGATTTGGCTATCTGGGGTCCCTTGAGATTCCATATGAACTTTAGGATGGGTTTTTCTATTATTGCTAAAACCATCATTGTGGTTTTGATAGAGATTGTATTGAATCTGTAGATTGCCTTGAGTAGTAGTGACCTTTAAACAATGTTAATTCTTCCAAACGATGAACAAGGGATGTGTTTCCACTTATTTATGTCTTCTTTAATTTCTTTCAGCAATGTTTTGTAGTTTTCATTATACAAGCCTTTCACCTCCTTGCTTAAGTTAATTCCTAAGTATTTCATTCTTTTTTATGCTATTGTAAATGGATTTCTTTTTTGTAATTTCCTTTTCAGATTGTTCATTATTAGTGAATAGAAATGGAAATGATTTTTGTGTGTTGGCTTGGTATCCTAACACTTTGCTCAATTCATTGATTACTTTTAACAGATTTTTTATCCTTAGCATTTTCTATACTTTAGATTGTATCATTTAAAAAAATCTTTAGGTTTTTTGAGACTTTGAGCATTTACTACAAATACTTATAAGTATTTTCCAGACAAACCAGAATTCAGGGACGGGGTAAAGCAAGGGCCAACAGAAACTCCAAATCCACTGCTAGATTAGAGGTCATCCATGAACTATACACCAAATCATAAAATATTTTGACAATATAAAACCCCAATCAAACTGTCTTTGTTTTCCAGCATCCAAGACAACATTAATAAAAAGGAAAGGTGGAAGTGTCTGTATGTGTGAGTAAGCCTAAAAGAGCTACACACAAGCATACTTATTTTCTTCAAGTCCAAGGTGGCTCCCATTAGAACTAATAGAAATAACATGCCCTCCCCAGGAGACTTCTGACAAGGGACTGCCTTTAAGACAGAGGAGAAAAGCCAAACAGAAGGGCCCTATATAGACTTCAGGGTTTTAATAGGGAGGCATGCAATCTTTAGGACCAGATGGAATACTAATGTGAAAAAAAATTCAATAAAGACACTAACAGAAATTGCTGTGGGAAAGGTCCTCACCCACCTCACAGCTAATTATGACATCAGTCTGTTGAATTCTGCTCCTCAAATCAGAATAATATGTCCAAAGCCCAAACATTTTGGGGGAAGAGACTACCTCCCTTAAGTCAATTATACATCTTTCAGGGGCAAGAATTTAGAGATTCATTCAGCAAAACTTGTTGATGCCTAGATTGTACCAGATATAGATCTCGGTGCTGGGGATCTGGCAACCAACAATGCCCCTGGGGCACGGAGCGTTCATTTAACTGGAGGAGACAGACAACCGAGTGATACTGCCGAGGAAAGCAGTAACCCACGGGATGAACAGTAACGGGTGGCGGGGCGTGTTTGAGAATTAGTGGGCGGGGCTTCTCCGATGAGATGACGTGTGGGCAGGGACTAAAGGAAGTGAGGAGAGAAAGAACAGGGGGCAAGAGCATCTTATACTTAACTTTAAGTCTCACTGCATCTGTTACAGGCACACCTCATTTTTATTTCACTTTATCGTGGTTTGAAGATAATGCATTTCCTTTTTTTTTTTTAAACAAATTGATAGTTTGTGGCAAACTGGCATTGTCAGATGATGGTTAGCATTTTTTAGTATAAAAATGTCTTTTAAGATTAAAATATTTTAAAATTAAGGTATGTACACTCTTGTTTTGTTTTGTTTTTCAGATGCAGTGCTATTGCACACTTGATAGGCTACATAATTCCTATGTGTCCTGCAAAACGAGAACAGTCATGGGACTCGCTTTATTGCTGTGGTCTGGTACTGAACCCGCAATGTCTCTGAGGTCTGCCTGTATATAAATTGAACATAACAGGTGCTTATAAATAGCAGTTTATCAACTTAGTGATCCTTTAAGTTTGGTTTCTTATGGTAAGTGAAAGGATTAAAGAAAGTAGGATCTGGTGAATTGGCTACATTATCTAGTCTAGTGGTGCCCATCCGAGGTTGATTTTGCCTGCCAGGGTACATCTGGCAATGTCTGAAGACAATTTGATTATTATGACCTAGCCGGGGAGAGGGTGGGCACTACTGTCACGTCCTGGATAAAGACCAAAGATGCTACTGAACATCCTGCAGTGCATGGGATAAGTTCCGACAGCAGAGAATGAGTGGGCCCCAAATGTCAGCAGTGCCACTGTTGAGAAACCTTGATCTGGTCCCCAGGGGGGCTGCCATTTTTGATGAGAGCCTGGGCAGAAGGAGCTCTTTCAAACAACCTGATCAAGACATCCAGATACCTGAAACAAGGTTGTTCCAAGGCCCTTGGATTTACTTATGTTGGGACATCTATTCTAAGCCTGGGGACAGACTTTGTCAGATGGTTTCAGAGCCACATGGGGGTTTATTCATTAAGCAACATTAGGAAAAGTTTCCTGCGCCCCTGTGGGAAGAGGGGGCAAGGAGATAAGATGTGGTCCCTGCCATCAAAGATTTTACAGCCTAGGGAGGATGGGAGCAGGAAGACAAAGACCAGCAATGTGACAAGGACCACAGGGGAGGAGAAATCAAATGAGGTAGGGGAAAGGAGTAACGACTCTTGTTGGGGTGACCCAAATAGGTTTAATATATGAGGTATCATTTGAACTGGGCTTTCACAGAGTGTAGGCTTTAAACAGGCAGAGAGGGAAGCAGAGGATATGGTAGGTAAAGGGTAAGATATAAAAACAGAGTCAGTAGGGATCAATGTTGTTAACAGCAACTGCTATCTAGTAAACCCTCTTTCTATGACAGGTAAGGTGCTAAGCCTTTTATCATGAAAAAACAAGTGTAGGGTAAACTGAAAACTGATATATATGAAGCAGGTGAAACCTAGCATGACCCAAAGTGACTTGAATTTCTATCTTATCTATTTCAAAAAGATAATGAAACATGGGGATTGTTACCTCAGGAGTATTGCATAAATACCGAAGCAGTTCACCAATATACTGAATGATAGTGACATTGTATTTTCTGCAATCATCCCAAAACTGGCTGGCTGAAAATTTGCTCCGTAAAACAAAAGTAGCACCTACAGAGAAGGCATAGAAAATACTAATAAAAAATGCTGCCCAAAAGATTCCCAATTATAGTTGTCATTTTTGAACTGTAGAAATTTAAATATGAATTATATTCACAAACAAGTATTAGGTATCAATTATGTTCAATACAAGAAAAAAAAAACCACACACAGTAAGACATGTTTTTGTCCTATAGGAGCTTCCAGTCTAGTGGGGGAGAACATGCACACATCTTGCTAATAAAAGTCAGTGTGCAGTAAACAAGAGGTTCCATGAAACCCTAAAGAAATTTGAGTTTGTGTGTGAAGATTAATTCTGCTTGGGGGCAAGGGTTTAGAAAGTCATATTGTAAAAGAGGTAGGAATTGAATTAGGTCTTGAGAAACAAGTGTGTAGAAAGATGAGAAAATTCCTGGCAGAGGAAAAAGCTTGGACATAGAGCCAGGACTGTCCAGAAGGTTGAGTGATGACCAAGACTCAGCTGGCCTGTGACTAGAGTGGGAAAGGGTGGGTGGGTCAAGGGAGATGGACCTGAAGCAGCAGCTAGGGGTGCAATCCTGAGAGTTTGTAAGTGCCAGGTGGAGGAGCCAGACTTAATTTTGTAGGCAATGGAGAGCCAGGGTCTTGAGCAAGGAGGAGATATTCTTCTTCGATGGGAGAGGTAGACAGAATCATGGTTCCCAAAGATGCCCACGTCCTAATCCCAAGAACCTGTGAATATGCTACTTTACATGACAGAGGGGACTACTAGATGTGATCAAGTTAACGATCCTCAAATGGGAAGATTATCCTGGATGGTCTGGGTGAGCCCAAAGTGATCACAAGGGTCCTTATAAGAGGAAGTCAAGAAGGTCAAGAGCAGAAGGAGATAGGATGACAGAAACAAGAGTTTTGGGTGATGTGCTTGGAAGATGAAAGAAGGGGCCATGAGCCAAGTAATGCAGGGCAGGCAGCCTCCAGAAGACAGAAAAGGCCAGAAAATGGATTCTTCCCTCGAGCTCTGGAAGGAATGCAGCCCTGCTGACATCTTGATTTTAGGACTTCTGACTTTCAGAGCAGTAAGAGAATAAATCTGTGTTGTTTTAAACCACTAAGTTTGTGGTAATTTGTTACAATAGGAATAGGGAGCTAATACAATGGGTAAAAAAAATGTATCTATTATAGCCAACCTAATGATAGACATGAAATGTAGTAAAGTGAAATTTAAAAAGTCCCAAGTATTTTTTCATGTTATTAGTTTATTTTTACTCCTAAATATACAAAGGACCAATGTTTTATGAGAAATTTAAAAAAATGCTATATTTTCTTTCTGAGCATATATCTCTGGTGCTTAAGCAAATGTGTCAGTGATTGATTTGTCCCTATGAGAGGTTCAGAGTCACTCTGTCTTTGAAGGGCCCAGCAGTATGACCAGGCCCAGCGCTCCTTGCTGATTTGGAGACTGAGACTGATGCTGGGCACCTTGTTTTATAGCTGGTCAATAAATTGATGAGGGAAAGGAGCAGAGGCTTGGACAATCATATATGTATTTGTATATACATATATGTTACTCTATATACATATATAATTATTTAAAATGAAATGTCACATGGGAGAAAAATTAAGTTATTTACCTTAGTTAGAAAGTTAGAGATGGCTCCTGGAAGAGATGGACATTGGACTGAGCCTTAATGTATACAAGGAACAGAAATTCTATTGAAAGGAGAAAAGATGGCAGTTCTAATTTACATGGTAAAATTCCAGAAGGAAAGAGGAGAGACGGATAGCCAAGTATTGTGACCAGAGCTGAGGACCTGGGGAAGCTGGGAGCAATGAAATAAAATGGGACAACTGTAGAAGTTTAAATCAGATGCTGATGCAGATCAACATGCAGATTTCTGAAGACAGATGTAACACAGGAGAATTATTTATGGAATCTAAGGATCAAATGTCTTAACCTGGGCAAAGACCTGAAATATTTTAAAGACGTTTCCTCTTTGATATACTGAACAATTATAGCATTATATTCTAGACAAGCAGGCATGAGAAAATACAGATTCTTTTACATACTTGCTTGCTATGTGTGAGCCCAATAGCCCTGTTATTAACAGGGAAATAAACACTCTTCCGGGCACACAGGGAAGTCGCAAACTTTGTATTATTGTTCCTTATGAGCATATGTGAATGAGCACTGGGCTACAATGCCTTGTTGAGAGAAAAAGCTTACCAGCTAGGATACATCCATGTAAGCCAATCATAAGCGCAGCACTGTGGTACAGGGGTAGGGTGGTATACATTACATCATCCTCCTTAATCCCGGTGAAAACAGCAAGGCGGGTTCCATACCATATGCGTTGATGATTGATCACTGCAGCTTTTGGGAGACCTTTGTAAACACACAGAGAAGGCATGAGTGAAATCAAGAGTAGTCATTCACAGACACATAGTCTGGGAGAGAGATCTGGTTTGGGAAGATTCATCATCTAGTGATTAGAGAATTGCATGCGGAGGGACTATGATTGGTAAGACTAACAGCTGGCAATTTTTTTTCTGCAAAGGACCAGATGGTAAATGTTTTAGGTTTTGCAGGGTCCTAATTCTCTACTGCAGCTACTCAACTTTTGCTATTTTGCTGAAAGAAGCCAAACAGAAAAAGGAACGAACTTGGCTGTGTTCCCATACAACTTTATTTACAGAAACAGGTGGGGGTTGTTTGTGGCCCACAGGCCATAGTTTGCTGACCCCTGAGTTAGATGGTTATTACAGTAGTGAGTTGGAGAGAAAGGAATGAATGTCTGCTCTGAGCCTACCACCTTGCCAGATCAGTTGACCCTTGAATAATGGAGTTTGAACTGCTTGGGTCCATTTATATGTGGACCTTCTTAAACAATAAACACATTCATGGTTGGTTGAATCCATGGAGGGCCCTCTCTAAGTCACATGGGGATCTTCAACTGCACAGAGGGTTGGTAACCCCAACTTCCACATTGTTCAAGGGTCAACTGTGTTTTCAAAATTTCACTTAATTCTCATAATTATTTAGATAAGTAGAATTGTATCCTCTAATTCAGATGAGAAGTCTGAGATTCAGAGAGATTAGTCTATCCATCCCATCGCCTTCCTTTGTAACCACTTTTATGAATTTCTTATGTACTTTTCTAGAGTTTCTTTATACAAATACAAGCTCATTTGCTCACATATTCTTGCCTTTTCCCCACTTAAAGAAAGCACATTTTTCTGCACTTTCCTCCCTTGCCTTAACAATGTGTTTTGGAGTTCTGTCCGTGTAGAAATTTCTCTTATTTTTCATTCACTTATTCTCTCAGGCGCATCAAGTCCTTTGTGTGTGTATCAATTTATTTCCACTATTTTGCTATTTCAAATGATGCTGCAGTGAATAACCTGGTCCACATGGCATCTCACACTGTGAATGATGCTCTATCTGTAGGGTAAATTTGCTGATTTGAGACTGCTGGTCAAAAGATATAAGTCTTTGTAATTTTGATAGATACTGTCACATTGCCAGTTATAAGGGCTGTCCGCATTCACTCTCCTGTCACCGAGGCATGAGTGTACCGTTTCCTCATAGCCAAGGTGTGATTTTAAATGTTGTGATTTTTGCCAATCTGAAAGGTGAAAAGTGGCATTTCAGTGTAGTTAGTATACTAAGTGCATTTGCATTTTCTTAACTATAATTTATGTAGGTTTTTTGTAAGACTCTATTGAAAGGGTATACTTACATTGTTTCCCATGGAAGTCAGTTTAGTTGGGGAGGGCATGACGTCATTGCTAAGGGACTGGGGCTAGAGTTTAAGACCTGAGAGCGTAAACTGGCTTTGTGAAGAGGAAGGCAATTCTCTGTAGACTCAGATGCTTCAATACTTGAAGGTACCTTAGCCAGGTATTCCCTAAATAATAGCAATTTGTTATAAGGCAAAGCAGTGTAACTGGCAAATTTTGTAAACACAATTCAGAATTCATGCTCTTTGATGTTGTGTTAGTATTAATGCCCCATTCTATGCTAATACTAAGAAATAAAAGAAAATATCAACAAATAAATTGTATTCACGTTGGAAAAGAATTGTCTGGGTAGTAAAAGCTCCAAGTTGTATTTTAAAAAAAGAAATGCACCTCCTTTGCTGCTTTGAAGTACTTTCAGAAAACTTCCTAATTCAAACTTTGATGAAGAAATAAGAATACTTGGTAACTATTATATAATTTTGTGCTAATGACTGCCTTTGAGGAACAGGGAAAACGTTTTGTTCTCTGATTGCTTAAATGAATTATTTTAGTTAATGTTTATATGAGTCACCTGGCAAATATTTTATTCAAAGATGAGGAGAAAAGTAAAATAAACATCAACCCAATTATATTCCAATTAAATCTAAATTCTGAATTATAGGATTAAATTAAGGAGTGCTTGTTCTCTTCTTCCTAAAATGGGTTTTATATTTGACTGCCAAAGCCCACATTGTGAAGAAGCTCCACACTTGTCTATTTAGTATTAAGACTAGAACTCCTTGTCACTAACTAAGTGCTTGTTTTATCTCAATTATTTCCCAAGTCAAAGTTTATAACTTAGTTTTACTCTTCTATTAAGAAATGAGGGTAAAAGTTCCATATATTAAGGTAGCATCTGGATGTAGTGAAGCATTTGGTTAACTACATCATCCTGCCATTCTGTCGGCAAGGTGATATATAACTTTTCCGCAAATAAAAATCAGGTCCAGGGACTGGGAGATCAGGTGGTGCCAAGGGCCTTTCGAGGTGGAGAGAGTGGATACCTATAGGCTGGTGTTGACATGAAAGGCTGACAGGGACCTTTACCCTTATCTATAATGTTGATTATTTTACAGGGAGAACGTGTGCATGTTACCTGCTTAAACGAACATTTTAACCAAAAGAGGGAAACTATTTGCAAATTCAGTTTCCCATATGAATAGGAATAATTAGGATGCTGGGGCTAGCTCCCTGCCCTCCTCTTAAATATATCTCTCAGGCTGCATGTTATGACACTTTGGTAACGTTTTCCCTGGGCTGGAGTGGGCAGACACTAAACAGCTGTGAAATGGATGAACTAGAAGGTATTGTGGCAGAGTGGTCAGCTGTATGAACTGTGGAGTCAGCCTACCAAGGTGCATTCTGATACTTCTACTTCCTAGCTTGGGAAGCATCAGCTTCTGAATCCGGAAAATAGGAATAAGAATAGTACCCGTGTTAAGGTGCGAGAATTGTACGAATAAAAGCCAAGAAGCTCCAAGAGGAGCACTGAGCACATCTGACCTTTAAGATTGTTCCATATGCAGTGTTCCAATAACATTATTAATTGGCAGTGTTTTCTCTTAGTGGCTTATAAAATAATGGTGCAGCTTACAGTTGAAGGCATCCTAGATTTGATGAAATATACTATTTTATGCTCTAAGCCAAAAGCCATCCTACACCCACAGCACCAAACAGCTCCAAGTCAGTGTTGCATGGGAAGATAGCGATCAAAACATTTGTATAAATACAACCCATTATTGTCCTGCAGTTTTCTTTGGCGGTCCATTTATAATTGGTTATACATTATAGATGGACTGTGGATATTATATAATCAAAATACACCATCATTTAAAAAAATTCCAACAACCTATTCAGTGCCCAGTCTTATCCATTATCGTAACTATTTTTGTAGTTCTTGGTTAACCTCTTTATCTGTTCTGTTTACCAACTAGGGGGAAATGCGTGTAGCTTAGAGAAACCCAAATGGGATCATATGCTGTGAAATAAGATCAGTTCCCACAGGCAAAGAGCTAAATAAATCCCCTAAAGTATTAGTTATCTGATAAGTTTTGCCAAAGAAAGAAAGCATTTGAAAACATAACCCAAGATTTAACTCCTTCATGATAGATCTGCCTCTTTGAGAATTCTCTTTTTATTTTTACCTGTGGTTCCAGAAGTATAAATGTATAAGGCAGGAGTGGAAAAGGTAACTTCAGACCTCCAGGACTCTGGGGTAGGTTCAGCTGACATCTCATCCACTTTGTCTAGGAAAGAGTCGACCCCATCTGTGTTAGAACTCCTGCTCATATAATAGACGGCCACGTCATCTTTTTTCAGGCTTGGCAACACCTCTTCAACAGCCTCTTGTAGTTCTTAATAAGAAAAAAAATCCAAACAAACTAAATTAGCCCATTCAAGTTCTATTTGTGTGGTAAATTTCGCAGTGATTTTGCTTCCACTAAACTTTTTGCTAAAACGTGTGGACACAGTGATGCCTATAGTTAGTTAGCATTTTTAACATGGGATTTACCACATTTGAAAATATCACAGGATCCCAGTATTTGAGGGAAGGTTGGGTTTTGATGGTTTCATAAGCAGCAGATGGTTGGTTGAAATCTGTACTTTCCATGGCAAGTGCAAACAAATGGACATATGGGTAAAAACCAAGATTATATAAGTATATGACATATGCATCTCTGATATATATGTCTCACAATACTCCAGAAATGAATTTAGTTATTCCTAATATGTGCCCCATAGGACTAGTGTTAAAAAAATTTTAAGGAAGAAGAGAAATGAAAAGAAGGGAGCTATGTTGACAAAGATGAAGGAAGCCAACTTGATATAACACATTTTTTTACATATCAGTAACAAGTAGTCCCACTAGGAAGGTTTAGCTGAGAAATAAGCTCCAAATTTCATAATTACACTCTCTGATCTAAGAAAAAAAGGGCTGATTAGCATGTTTTTCAAACTGTGGGTCACAACACAGTAGTGGATTGTTAAATTCGTTTAAACTGACCATCAGTCTAAAAAAATAGAATGAAATAGAATTTTTTTAGAGCATATCACACATCATATATTTTTTAAAAGTTTTTCTTTAAAGGTATGTATTATTTTTTAAAGTCTTGTTTCAGTTATGTGGGTGTGTGGGTACTGGATTATGCACAAGTGTAATTTTTACAGTGGGTCAAGGTCAAAAAATTTTAAAGGCATTGATTTACTATGCAAACCACATTTCAGCTTTGCTGCTTGGATTTTTGTGTCCATCCAGAAGATAAGATGGTCTTTAGGCTTCCTTGTCTTGAATTGTGATAACTGAAGTGAACAGACATTCTTAATAGGAAGGTGACTCAGTAGCCCAGGGAGTTACCTTGGGGAGGCTATACCTGATTCATCTTATATGCTTTGTTTTTCAGATGTTTATGTATAATGTCTCCATCAAGACAAGAGATAACATCTGGATAGATGCATATAAGAAGTTTTAAAACATTTAACCAAAGAACTCATGCACCTGATCAGTATAAACCAAATAGGACAAAAGAAATAAAATTATAAGGAAAATCCACAGCCCCTTACCTCACAACTAAACATGCTGCCTAAAGCCAATGACTTTCAGTTGTTTTTTAGCTGTTTCTTCTAGCAATCGCCTCTCTGTCACCAAACTGTGTGCTTTTCCTGCTATGTCTTGACCTATCATTTTTGATCCCACCCCCATTTTACCCTGACCACCCCCAACGGTTATGATCTTCACTTTATGTTGTCTGGGTTAATGACATTTGCATCTATTCTGAGACCATAATTCTGTCTTCTGAGCTTTGTCTGTGTGTTGGCTCTAGAAGCTCGAGAATCAATGCCAGGATCCACGAGACTGTGACAGTGTAATTATCTGTAAATATGACTGTAGAGCCAAGTAACACACTGTAATCATCATTCCTTTCTTGAACAGTTTTCTCCTGGAGTTTTTATTGGCTCTCATTTCTTAACGTACTGCTTGCCTCAATTCATTTTCAACCTCCATTAGATCAGCTTCTCTCTCTCTTTTTTGCTTTCCTCTACTCTTTGATTGGTTGCTCTCCAGTTCTTCAGCATTTTGGGAAGATCATCAAAAACATTACTGTTGTTGGGAAGGGTATAATTCAGTGGCAGAGTGCCTGCTTAGCATGCATGAGATCCTGGGTTCAATCCCCAATACCTCCTTTGGTTTAAAAAAAAATACTGTTGTAAAAACAGTAACTGGAGTGCTAACGTCCGATCCCTGGCCAGTGTCTTAGTTTGGGTCATTATTTCCTGCCTAGATCATCGCAGTTGCCTCCAGACTGATCTTGCCTCTAACCTCTCCGTGCTTCCAGTTTATCAGCTATGCCACTGCCCGACTTCTTGTTCCTGCCCTGATTAAAATCCTTCAATGGCTGCTCATCCCTTGTGATAGAATCCACTCTGCTTATGCAGCATGTGAGGTCCTGGGGTCGTTTAGTCCACCCCTGCTGGCTTTTCTGACGTCCTCTCCTACTATCGACTCTCGTCCCCTTTTCCTCTTCCCACACTGATCTACGTGAAGTGAATGTACCCATGTACCCACTCACATCTTCCAACCTTTGTCCAGGTGGTTTTGTCTGTTTGGAAGGCTCTCCAGCCCCCTGGTCACCGGGAAAACTGCTCATCTTTCAAGACTCAGCCTCCATGACACTTCTCTCTGTGGCCTTCCCAAAGAAGCCTGTATATGCTGCTATCAGGGTATTTAGTATGTAGTGTGACAGGCTTCAGTTCTTTTTCTCCTATATTAGACAGTGAAAACTTTGACATTAAGGGATTTATAACTTGATCATTTTAGTAACCCCCCATCCTCACCAGTAGTGCTCAGTGAATGTATCTAATTGAAGGAAACTGCACGAAGTATTGTATTAGTGTGGAAGAGGATTTTAAAGGATTTAGGTATTGCAATACTGTGAGTTAATAAACCTCTAATAAAATAAAATGCAAAATGAAATCATATCTATGATACAGGTCTGCCTTGCATACAAGTAAGGGCCCATGGAAGTAAATTAAAGACAAAGCAAAACAAAACTACTATTACAACTTAAAGAATTAAGAAATCTCTCTCCTTCCCTCCCTTGCACCTGAGACTGAGGCTCTATAGTTAAATGGTGTGTTCATAAATTACCTGGATTAGCTCTTCCTCCCCTCCTGTCTCTCCCAATATTTATTCATCATCTATTTCAAGAGTGTCCCTATGTGCCAGGCATGGTTCTAAACACTGGATACAAAAGTGGGCAAACCAGATACTGTCCTTGTTTTCATAAAGCCCAGGTCTAATGGGGGAGGAAACAGACAAAGAAATAATCCATTAAAATAAGCTGTCATAGGTGGCACAATAGAAGAAGGAGGTGGCGATTTGGAGGCACATGGGATGGGCACAAAGACAACCCAGAGGAATATTATATAAACTGAAATCTGAAAGCGGGAGTTGGCAAGATAAAGATCCACAGAGATTGACTGCCTGTTTGTAGCAGAGGGAGAAGCTTATGCAAAGACCCAGAGGCAAACAGCATGGTGCCAAAGTAAATAAAGGAGGCTAACGCTGACTGGAGGGTAGAGTGGGAGGGGACGAAGTTTGGGAGAAGAGGCTGGGATGTAGGTAGGGACCAGGTCCCCAGCTTAAGTCAGGTAAATGGGTTGGAGGGGGTAAAACCAGATAGAGGTAGGGAGACTCTTTGGTAGCTTAAGTTTGTTTGCACCACTGAGAGAGATTTCTTAGTTCTTTAAGTACAGCAGAGGGTAAAGAGAAGTATTTAGGAGATGTTTGAGATGTAGAATACACAGATTTTGGTTAACAGTCTTCAAGAGAGAAATATTATAGGTCAAAAGGGACTTTACTTTTTTCTCTAATTTTTTTAAAAGAAAATATGCTCAGGCATTAGTGAGAAATCTAAAATTAATAACAGTAGTAATGACAGTAAAAGGAAATGTAGTTAAGCAGGCATCATGCTGGTTCACAGTTCAAGCAATTTGGCGAATTCTGTCTTCTGTTTCTCTCATGTTCCCACCTGGCCCTCTGCAGGCTTTTTGTTTATGATCCCTGACCTTTCAGAGAGGTCGTCTCATCTGAAGAGAAGGCCATTGTCCCTGCACAACACAATGTCACTCCATGTCGTCTGGGCTGTTGGTGTAGGATCTGCATTTGGACATTGACTTGAGGTTCCAGGGCATACCTCATGTGTCCTATGGTAGCAGCCTCTCTTCCCTTAAACGAAAGATGCTGATGTTTAAATCAATAAATCAATAAATCAATCCACACACTTATAAACTGAAATTTGAAGGGAAATTATAGATGTGAATGAAACTCACTAACTCTGGATTTGATATTTAGTGTCTTTTCTTCATTCTTTCATAAATGTGATTGGGCCCCGTGTTTTCTGCTTCACACATGGATTTTTTTTTTTTTGGTAATTCTTATTGTAAAGTCTGCCTCCTTAAGATAAAAGTGGCAATCAACTGGGACACATAATGTCCAATAATTCTACTTGTCTCAGGTTGAGCTCCCTGGGACTCCGGGGTTTGTGTGCAGGAGTCTTCTTGGGAATGACGCCTGTGGGGTTTCCAGGGAGGTAGGTTAGACAGAGGGAGAGGCTGCACTGTGTTGTAGTCATACGGTGGCCTCCCTCAGTTGATCCTGTGGGGACTCTGGGCCTGGGATGGCCCTTCACATTATCCCAAATGAAGCAAAGTGGCCTCTACCTTCATGCTTGCCCACCAGCCAGCCTTTGGTTACAGGTTAGGGGTGGTGTTCGATGTTGGGCGGAGCTGTCTTAACAGAGGACAAATCCTCTTGGCTGACTGCTGTCAGCTGCCACTGCTCCCAGCAGCTGAGGAATGAGTACCTTGGTCCTGGAGTGGAGATTTAGGCAGCACATCACAGCATCCACCACATCTTTTGTTCTTACTGATAATAAATATTTACAAATCTCATTTGTATTAAAAAATTGTATAGTAGCTTTGCATACTTATGTAATTTTCACAATGACCCTGCGATATAGATAATGGCAAGCCTGTTTCTATAAGTGAGGACAGAGACTCAGTGAATCTATGTATGGAAGGCTACATACAAAATGAAAAGAGTTATAGCAGGCTTCCGGGATTCCCACCATCTTGTTCCAGACATTCAGTTTCAGGTTTTGGTATGCATTGATTTTTTGGAAGATACTGTTTACTTGACCAGCTCAGTGGATCTGCCTTTAAGAATGGTAATATGAATGCTCTCTTCTTCATCTTTTTGATGAAGAGCCCAGCCTCAAGCTTTGTGAATAGCTTGGGTATGAGAAATAGTATGGATGGAAAGTTGCCTGAAGAATGTAGAGTAGATCTGTCAATT